TGAAGTGTTCGAACAAATGGTTTCACTTGACTGCAGCACACACGCGCGAGATCGATGCAAAGCCGCTGCACAGTCGCGGGGTTTATGGAAAGTATCGTGCAAACTACCATGGAACCAAAACATACAGCCGCAGGGGAGGACCAGTGGAGTCAGTGTGTTGAAGGCAGGTACGCTGGGATGATCAGTCCCAGTATCACCGACTCTCGTTCCTGCTGCCACCCCCTGCTGATTGTGTTAAAGGTGAAAGAAACTCCTAGAGACGGAGTGCGACACACACACACACACATGGAGGTGCGATGCGTTTGGGTCACAGCAAGGGGTTCCTAAACTTGTTTTGTTTTCTTTGTCTTAGCCTCCACTCCTTTTGCCCTGAGCTCTTCTACCACCAAGGTGATGGTTGCGCCTTCGGACAGAAGACGCGACCAGGTCCAGAGGCGACCGTGACCGATTTCCGTCTCGTGTGAATCGAGACACGCGTGGTGCTCGATGGATGCTCAGGTTTGGCAGGCCTTAGGCCTGCCACTGACATCCGACACACGATTTCGCGACATGGGCCGAAGAGGAAGACCTACCGTAGGTCGGAAGGCGTCCAATAGAAACAAGAGAGTTTCCACATGAACCAGACATGACATATGACATGACATGTTTTGTTGTTTTTGGACTATCTTTTAACTAAAGCTCTCACAGAGCTTCGGGTGTTTCTCAAAAGCGCTCGTGCTTGCTCCACTCCACAATCAGCATGGACATGTCTGGTACCTATCAACCAGGAATCATGAAGCGTGGCAGCTGTAGGCAGTCATATGTTCCAGTGACTCTCCCTGGCTGTTTAGTACCTGAATCCTTTGTGTTTTGTGGTTTCACCACAGTCTTTGAGAACCACCTGGAGCAGAACACAGCCGGTGTTTAGAAGACAACCTGTTCCAAATGGCCCATGCCGGCCGCACCAGACGTGTGCAGTCCTTGTCATAGCTTGTTCACGAAAAGAAGTCCGCAGGGGAAAAGACGGGCCGCCGCAGCCCGTTCCGATCCACCCGTGTTGCAGAGTTTGGACGCGTGACCGCGTCTCATGCGGCTTTCAGAGGTTGACACTCACTCGGCCTCACACGAGCGGCTCACTGGGCCTCCGGTGGACCGTATTTACACCGGTCCGGAATTGGGCTCCAGGTGGTTTGCCAGCAGAATCTGCAGACTGCATCTTCCAACCAGAATTGTTTGCTTCGTGGGGAATTTCTGGCCTCCTTTTGGCGATTTTTCACCAGGCGTCCTTTGATGTGCTGTCCGTTTGGTCAGTGGACAGGGTCCAGGAGTTCAAGGTAAATATGACCTTGTTGAATAGTACTGTAATATATAGTACTTCGAGGAGCAAAGGCATATTCCAAACCCCTGTGTTGAACTTGGGGAGGGCAAGTGAGTTGGGGTGGGTTGGGACATATGCTATTCATATCTATTCATGTAATATACTAAATATACATATTCTGTGACGGGTTTCTTTGACCGTGCGGTTTTTCTCCCCTTGGGCAATCCCGTACTTTTCTGCAGACTTCTGGAGGACAAGCGGGTTGACTTGGCCAAGCCGTGGCACATCATGGTGCGTGTGGCCTTGGTGGCTCTTCCGGCTGCACCTCGCTTGCTTAGCAAGTCACGTGGGCCAGGGGCAAGAACGCAGCACTCAGCACATGTCTGGGGGTGATGCCAGCTCGAGATGGGTTGTGTCTCAAAACGAGCGAGGGTTCTTCACATGGTTTTGGCTGTAGCATGACTGAACGCTCATGTGTTGGGTTGTTCCATTTGCTGATTTGGATTTTCCATGCTCTTTCCACCACTCATCCAGAGGTGTCGCAAACCCTTCAGAAGAATTTCTCCACACCATTCGCCCTTCATTTTGGGCTTCAAATCCTTTACATGCACGCCGTAGAGTGAGTCTAGTGAGTCTCGGAACCCACCACCGACCGACCGCGTGAGACGGGTCGAACCGACGCCGGAACCGGCACCCAGGCCTTCACCATCCTGCCCGAGTTGGCCTGGCAGCTGGGGCCACCGGTGGAAGACTTCGCGTGAGGGGATGTCCAGATGGGAGGCGTAGCGTTGGAAATGGCCGACATGGCCTCGGATGGTGGAACTTGCGCGGTCGGGATAGGAGGGGGTTTGGTGAAATGGAGCTGTTGTGGGAGTCAATGGGCTACAGTATAAGCATGGTTTGACTGGGATGTGGAAAAGCATCGTCTTTGGATTTCTGGGTTTGGACAAACTGCTAAAGCGCTGCACACATCTGAGACGAGCGCGGCAGTGCATCCCATCAAAACATTGCTGCATGTTTGCATGGAGAGCACGCGCAGAAACAGAGCGCGCGCAGAAGGCCAGCTAGATCAGGAGGGGCACTCCAGACAAGTCTTGCATTTTAGAAGCTAATTGGACGGGTTCTGGGATATGATAGTTTCAGCTGTTCCTGGCAACGTTTGTTTGAAGTTTGAAGCAGACTTTTCCTCAAAATGTTGGAAAGGAGCTTATGAGTCTAACGGACCATCACCCTCCAATGATGTTTGCACCTGTGCAGGTCAGCCCTAACTCGGAAATTGATTGGATGTGGATTTTGGGGTTGGACGACCAAAGCTCGACCTCCACTTGCACATACAATTACACATCCAATCCAGGATTCTTTGGGACTGATCATGAACTTAAGGATTGTGAGTAGCCACGGAAGGTGCTTCATGCCTTTTTTAGACAGGTCACCCCATGGAGAATTCTGGGTTGCTGATTCTGTTTCAAGATATGCTCGACCACGGTGGCTGTTTAACAAATGAATGTTTGTTGCCTCGGGTGCCCTTTCAAACATCCTTTAGCAATGTGGCCTTCTTGGGGACCTTTTGCTTGGCCGAGAAGAGTTCGGCACGATGCTGGTGGAGCCACGGAGGGACGAAACAGGCTGGTGCGGTGCTTGGTTGGGTGAATTTGGGTGAAGAAAAACAAGGCGTAAAGATGCGCAACGTATTCATGCAACTACTGGTGTTCAGGGATTGCAGGACCGTGAGAGGTAGACAGGAAACCACTTGCAAGGCCAGCCACCACCGTCACAGCTCCTCCGTGCAGTTGGCATCGTAGCAGAGCAGAGAGACGCAGCGTAGCACGCTATCCGAGGAGTGAGAAAAAGCTGCCGTGTGTGCCAATAATGCAGGAAAAAGGGTAAAATCCTATTCTAAGTATTCTAAGAACCACCCGACTTTCCGCATGTTCGGACTGGGGAGAAGGCAATGGAATGTGTACACCATTGGCATCCTCAACCAATGGCCTAGAGCCTTTGGTTGGTACTGTTGGTTAAGGCAGGAAGCAAGCGTTTGCAGAGTTGAGAGATCCTTGAAACCCGACCGGCTTGCTGGGCCTCACACCGTCTCGGAGATGGGATCTTCTTTGTCACATCACAATAATTAAAAGACCAAAACCCCTATATATATATATATATAGCGACTCCGCTGGCCTAACTGGGGCGCGCATACACCAAATACATCCAAATACCTTTCTTTGACACGAGATCAATCTGAGATCACAAAGTGCTGTGCCTGCCGCAAAGTCTGCACATCGAGGTCAGGTTGCCACAAAATATTTAACTTGGAGGTCCACCAAGCGCTGCGCCTGCCATTAAATTTGAACATTAAGGTTCACAAAACGCCGTGCTTGCCAAGAAAGTGGGCTAGGTTTAATCATGTATTTGGGAGGATCCCGGTGGAATGTTTCTTTGATGCCGGTCTTTTTTGTCGTTTCATCCCTCGCCCTCATGCTTTCCAAAAAGAATTCTCTGTTATTCCAAGACTGGGCTAGATTTGTTGCGCAGTTTGACGGTAAATCCCATGTAAACAATAATAGACCCAAGAAGTCCTAAGAGTTCATCGCTCTTCACTGAGGCTTTGGGCAGGTGGGCCGTGCTTTGCACTTTACCTCACGCCAGCTTTCGCCCCTGGAGCACCACTGTGCCAGCCAGGGCCCTGGAAAGTGGCCCAGCGGCTTCGATCGTCGATTGTCAGCGACCCTCCGGCGATGTGAGTGATTGAGATGGAGCTGTGGTTTCTGGTGTTTTGATGACGTATTTCCCCATTTGCCAGGGGAGGGTTGTTTGATTTTATGGTGGGGATCACTCGAAGTAAAGTATTTTGGAGTTGTGATTGTTTGCGAGGAACAGATCCATCTCTATTTGGATGTGTTGGGGCAGCGATTTGCTGCCGGTTTCATGTCCAACGGTCCAAGTGAAGCCATCATGGAGCCGGAAAGGGAATGGGGATTGAATGGGAATGGTGGCTTGGATTTTTTGCCATGCACCTTTCAACTAAACCTCGGTAGATGTTGGCGTTATGAAGCCTTCTAGGGGGCCTTGGCTTGGGGTGACCATGATCGCTACTGCCCATTGAATGGAGGACAAATTAGTATGCTCTTCTGACTGGGATAGGGTCGAGCGATTGACTTCCTTGGCTTCCCAGGTCAGACGCCTTCAGCCACTTTTACGTTGTATCTGAAGGTGCGGATGTCGGATGTCGGTTTCCTTTGCCGAGGGAACTTCCCACCATGATGGTGGAAAGTGGTTGAGAGGACCTCAACATCCTTTGCCAAACCGCATTGCTGCAAGAACTGACCCAAACAATACAGTCCTTCTCTACGCCAATGCACCTCATGGCACTGTATTTCTATCGAAGTGTGCGACCGGGGTAGGGATGACTTCCAGTTTCGTTCCACCCGAGAGCGATAGAACTATGACTCTGTTCCCAACGGAACCAGCGCTTGGAACAGTCGGGCACACGGTAGCACCTGTGAGGCTGGGCCTCGTTGCAGCCACCAGGGGCTTCAGGGCACCTGGGAATGCTTCGATGGCTTCCAGGGGACCATGCCAGCGCTCACTTGGGCGCCACAGCTGAGCTTCAGTTTGATGTAGGTTCTGACTGATGTGAATTGGGTGTCCTGGACAAGATCCTGAGGCTGTCAAAACACAGCTGGTAGATCGCAGATGCTTTGCCGCCATGCGGAAAGAATCCCAACCAGTTAAAGGCCATGGCCATGGTGAAACGGCCTCCAGTGAGACGTGTGATGGTGACACGGTGATTGGATCTCCAAAAGCGTCTCTCAACGAGGTTGGCAGTTGCATTACCTTTGAGTTTCTGGATGATGCTGAAATGATTGACCCTGATGGACAGGACAGTGGCAGTCAGGGCAGCGAACAGGGCTGCTACGGAATATACGGAATGGGGGTTTGTGCGTTTCTGAGTGATTTAGATTGCGCTATACATGGGCAAGATCACAGTCGCACGCGTGTGAGGATACAGTCACAGTCACTATAAACTAGACGGCGCAGGATACAATTGGATGTGATGATGCATGCCTGTAGGCAACTCTTTTTGGGTGTGTTGAGAAATGTTTACTCAATTTGTGGCCCTGGTAGTATGTGTCGAGTTGGTATTTGTCCTCAACATCTAGACTTGCAGGCTAGGTGACCGTCGACTGTCATTAGTGCATTTTGATTTTGTTTGTTGTTGCAAGCTTTGTTCTTCACACTGACCAGCTATCTCAAGAGCGCCCAGGTGTTCAAGAGCACCCTCCCGTTCAAAAGAGCTTCAACATGCTTCAACCATTGTGTTGAATCATCCATCTACCCGCAACCTGGTCCTTACACTTCAACTGATGTGTTTCTATGTTTTTTCTCAGATAGCATCATGTTTGCTGGGTTTGCTGGGGCCACACTCCAACTCGACTGGTATCAGGTTTCCTTTCGTCACTGTCTTTTCCATCCGTTGGAGTCGGAACGGCGGAGCGGCTCCGTCGGCGCTGCCTCCCACGGCAGGAGCGCACGGCCTTATCTGGCAGCTGCCGGATGTCCTTCGCCGAGACCTCCGCGCAGTCCATGAGCTTGACCTTCCGGGCAGAGCCGGAAGCCAGCCGGGGAGTCCTGGCGGTTGGGCTTTTTGGGGTCGATATTTTTGGGGAGAGGAAGATATCTTTTGGAGACAGACGAGCCTGGATGAACTTCTAGAAGATCATAGAAGCTCATTTTGAGGGATGTAGGCGTGTATTTTTTGTTATGGATGTTAGATTTAGGGGTCTTGAACAAGCATATGCCAAATATAGCAAAACACACAGACAGTACTCTTCGATTTCGAGTCCTTTATAGTCTAACGGTGGCAGTGTTCGAAGTTGTGATTTTGCTACTCCCTAGGGATCCAAGTACCTTCTCAGAAGGCACCTGGACCCTCCTGGCACCCACCCCAGTCCCACCTTCTGAGAAGGTACTTGGATCCCCAGGGACTGAATTGTGCATGTTTGCTTGCCAGCCGTCTGGGTGGATCCATATGAAGGGCTGGGCGATGCGACCGAGAGTCACCAGCAGTCGACAGTCGCAGTCGGGATGTGGCGCCAGCCGTCGGGGCCGAGGTCAAAGCAAGGACAGCAGGGGCGTTGTCTCGACGGTTGAAGGAATTTTTGAAGACCAGCTAGGATGGACAGCATCAACAGAAGGACAAGATGAATACTGCCCTGGAGTCTATTTCCAGCTGCGGCAATGACGTTTCGCAAGAGGGTTTGGAGCATTATGGCGGTTCCTGTCGGTCGACTAATTTGTTGTACCCGTTTGAAGGTGTACCAATCTTCAGCAGTTGCCCAGCCACCGTGGGCTTCACGTGCAGTGAGGATTTGGAGCTTCAACGTTGGATTTGTTGGAATTTTGAACGTTTGCAGTGGGACAAAACTAGCTGAACTATCCCCTTCGGCTATGTTGTGAGCAGAGTAGATGGCACAAACCCCTAGGCCATAGACGTAGTTTGACAGGCGTCCATCGAGCTGAGTGCCTTGACAGGGTCTTGGGCCATCTACTTCAAGACCATGAGCTGAGTTCTCCGGTTTTTCTGGACAGCCTATCCTCACCGACCGGAGGTTCCATTCATGTGGATCCACATTCTCGAACAGGTATGGCAAGGCGTTGATAAAACATCGTAAAACATCAAGAGCATGAATCATCGATCTGCACAACTGAACTCCCACATCCATGAACAGAAGCAACACATCATTTATCATTATGAGAATCTTACAGCCACAGACTGGGGGTGGACAAAACATTCCATTGCCTGGCTGGCAAAGATAGACTTAAATTTATCAATTCAAGAGTTTCTAGACAGACACGTCGCTACAGACAATGACGCCTGGGCGATCGGTCGCAGCGACCGATCCCATGCACCAGGAAGGCCACATGGAGCTCTTCGTGGGTTCCTTGGGGCAAGGCGCGGCGCACCACGGGCGCAACACCGAAGGACACGACTGATGACGGGAGGTGCATGTTCTTGGTCGGTTTCTTCCCACTTGGGGATGTCAGAGGGGGGTTTGACGTGGTTCTACTGTTTGGTCTACTTGGTCTTAAAAGCAGCGCGCCTTCTTCTCCATGTATTGTTAGAGAAGCCGTCCCTTTGTTTTTCTGTGCAACTGTATTGGTCTATTTGGGGGACTGTTTGGACTATCAACATTGGTCCAGGTCTTGAGACCTCAAAAAGGACAACGACTGTAGGCTGTAAGTGGATTCATCCAGTGGTTTAATCCAGACTTTGAGATCGTTTCTGTGCCATTTGTATTGAAGATGTCTGGAAGAGAGAAGTGCTGTTGCACTGGAAGTCCTCAATGTTCCACTGAAATCCACTGAAGGCTTATACCTTATATAGCATAATACACAATTTCATTGTGTTCAAAAACATTTGCTGCCGCCATGCGTCCAGCACAATGGACTCTTCAGGCAGAGACCATCTGACCAAAGATTTGAGTCATGATCTCCAGACGACCAGAAGACTGTCAAGTCTGACTGCCCTTCCGAAGGCCCATGCCCTATATGCCCTAGTCGTCGACAATAGAACACCCTCGCAACATGCCCGACTGCCCACAGTATCGAGCTTGGAGCTTAGAGTGATGAGTTATGCGATGAGTTATTTCTGAGTGTTTGGACGAATGGAACACCGAACGATTGAGCTTATCTCTAGACATCCAATTTGGGCCCTTCAGAAATCTTTTAGAACGTCCTGAATTGGTTTGGGATTTATTTATGTTGCAACGGGTCAAGGGCTAACAAGTGCTTGGCCACCAGAAAAGCGGACCGAGACACTGGATGGCCGGACGTGCTGGTCGTCTGACCAGGCCAGCCCTGCTTCTGGCAGCGCGGTGAGACACGCAGAGCCGATGACAGGCACGGATCCTCAAGTGGGATTGTTTCGACTGGCCAATTGAAAACTGGAACCACGTGAAACCTTTCTCTCAATGCAAATCAGATGGGCTTGGCATCCATCTACTACATTGCATGAACAGTTGACTTGCCCTGAAAATCAGCCGTTGCAATTCACCATGTCGCAAACATATTTTAACATGTGTATCTAGACTCATTGACCATTTGTCCAGTGGGATTTGAATGGTTTCCCTTATGAATCATTCCAATCGATTCCTTGGTCCACCCAGCACCTCGCAGTTCCTTGCCAGCAGGGACCATTGCGGACTGGGAAGAAGACGGCGGACCGTGTACGTTCGCGTGCCCAGGAGCCAGGGCGACCAGGCAGATGGACCTGTACCGCCTTTGGTGTTGGTTGGAAGCTCAGAGGGTCAGGTGGCAAGCCGAGAGGCATCAAATGTGTGCATTGTTTGGAACATGTGTCCCCCTTAGGCCTCCAGTCGTACCTGAGAAAGTGTTTGGGGTTTGGAGGGTCCAAATGAGGAGGTGCTTGGAGGCCTAGTGATATAGGAGAGGTTTAAGAAGCATTGTTCCCGGATTAATGAACATATTCCATACATGGACGGTGGGGGAATTAGCATATGGAAACAAGAATTCTGTTCATCACCTTGATTTTGAGACAAACCGTTGTATGTCAGTCTCCCACAACAATTGCAACCGTTCCGTCCAACAGTTCCGTCCAACATGGACTGGAACAATCTTTGACCAATCAACCGACCAACCAACCAACCAACCATTCCTCACCTCATTCCTGATTCCTCATGCGAACCTCCGCCTTCGCTCAGACCATCGCCTTCGCTCTGACCCCCAGGTCTTGACCATGGGCATGTTCTTCGGCAGCGGTCCGACTCCTTCGCCCACGTCCATTCCACCGGGCCTTCCATCTCTGGAGGCTGAGCGACGACTGACGCCGCCCGCGGCGACGCAGACGCACACGCGGCGGTTGGGAGCAGACATGGTCTTTAGATGGTCCTTGTAATTAGGACTTGCCAAGATCATCCCAAACCTATTGGTCCTCGCCAAATTGAGTCAAGTGGGACACAGAATTCCTCAATTAGGATTGAAACATGGTGATGATTTTGGAATAAGGCTTTTGAAGACCGTTATGAGGAACCATGCCGAAACAAAGGGGGCCCATACTGAGCAAGAAAGTAAGGCGGCCAAAGCGGTATGCCCTCCAGAAGGTCCCGGAGACCAATGCATGCACCATGAGAACCAATCAAAGCCTATAGATCCCAGACACCGCTTTTTGGTGGCTGCTATGGCTGAAGAGCCACCGAATTCCATATGATCAGTTGCCCCCCAAACACTTCGTTTCAGCGAACCCCCCAAGCCGTTCGCCCATCGCGACCCATCCCCATCGCTCGCTACCCTCCCGGATCGTTCTTTCGGTCCCCCGCAGGAAGCGGCACGGCCGGGGTGCCTCGGAAACGGCGCGCCCCATGCGGATCCAGCCCAGCAGGTTTCCCAGATCCATGAACAGTCGAGGACGCTAAGAAGATCAAGGATCCCCCAAGAATGTAGCAGAACTACGCAGAACTTATGCCAATAGCAGTACATTATAATAAGATTGGATATCCCGTCATTGGTTGCGGCAAATGTAGATCACCCGAAACCTTGGCAACGCGCATAAGTCCACCGGAAGGGGTTCCGATGAACTTCCCAAGGACTATGGCATGCGATGGTTCTCGGAATGTCCCGTTTCGACTTCACCTCAACATCGGTGAAGTTCACAGTCCTGACTTGAACCAACCTAACACCCTGAGTCAGGTCCGGAAGGTGATGGACCGTCCGCTCCTGGCCCTGGGCGAACTACCACTACTCATACTACTCTACGCTGCTCGTGGCTCTGAAACAACCACTAGCGGTCGCCGAGGCGACGGCCCAGGTTGGATGGCCAAGACGATCGAATTCGGCAAAGCTTTTTCAGGTTGCAAAACGTGGTGCGGTGCGTCAATTTTCTACGTGGCGCTTCCGCGAAGCACTGTGCTTCGCGCCTTTCATTCCTTCACCACTCGCTCTAGATGGTCCTTGTATCAGGTTGGAATGACACTTTGGGGCTATGTCTATCTCACAAAATGGTCAGATCCATCGCTTGTTGATGCGTGTCCCGGCCACGCTTGTCCCTTCACCACACCATCCGCGCTGGTCGGCGGAACAGCGGTGTGACGTGATGTGACGTGTCATCGCCGGTGACGTGTCGCCTGACGTGTCACCTCCATTTGAGGCACGTCAACCTGCAGAATGACGTGGTCATACGCTCCCATTCAGGCGAGAGCGTTGACATTCTTGGGGGAAAACATGCGTTAAGGTAAGATGTTGATAAGCCAATTGAACAAGGGAGCCAGTGTGATTGTTGCAATTTCCAAACATGCATGCCTCAATGATAGCCTCAATCCAAGCATGTTGCACTATATATATAGTTATATATATATATATATTTGTGTTTGTCGACTGCCACCCAGACACCACTAGGTGTTTGGTACTGCTGCCAACTAACTGACTCCTGTAGATGTTTGTGTTGCATTGTGAGCCGATTGCATACTCTAGATGTCGCTGCAACTTCTGCCTAAAGGAAGGCAGATAAAGAGACAAAGAGACAGACCGGGTGGCCTGGCACGCGGGCAGGTGATGCCCCTTGAAGTGGTCTCGTTTACAGCACACTAGCTGGGAATAGCTGCTAGCAGCGTCACAGCCTGCCTTCAATCCACAAGAGCCTGATCAAACAGAATACATAAATGGTCATGGTCACATAATCCGACTTTACGTTGGTGGCCGCAGTGGCTGCCTAGCAAGAGTAGTGGGACGCGTTGTGTTGCAGTCTTATACACATGAAGGATGTGAAGGTTGTGCCAGTTCTTTAGTTGAAAAGTAACGAAGAAGTTTATGAACTTATGAACATGGATTTTGTGAAGGCAGCTGCTGTGGGTTTTCTGCACGCTTTCAGATCTTCCTGATTTCAATGGCCCAGAATGGGCCAGGCATGGCTTTCTAGAGCAATTTGTGGCAACTGATTTGTTGCAGAAGTTTGGTTTGCTGATTCAGAATATGTGTATTATATATATATATATATTGGTGGCTTTAAGTTATTACAATGTTTGTTTTGCCTTGCTTTTGGAACAAGTTGGTGTGGAAGAGTAGTTGGAGTTTGGAGTCTAGAACATCTATGAAGCCATGCCCGGCCCTTTGGCAAAACTGATGCCACCCCATGCACAGCTGCACCATGCTGTGCAGACAGATCGAGTATCACAAGTTAACCAGTCGCTCAACTGCTTGAGAACAGCCACCTGACAGATGCAGATCCACCAGATGCAGACAGGAGTCCAACATGGTCTGACTGACTCAGAACCAGAGAGGACACCGTTGCAGACCATGTTCTCAAGCGAAACCTGCGGGCCAAAGATGACGAGCGTGAGCGACCCTAAGGTGCTGCCATCCCCAAAGATCAGCCGATTGAGTTTCGATGATGTCATAGAGTTGCAGAACATGATGGAAAGACTGGAACGATATGTTTCCCAAAATGCTGATAACCACTGTACTACGTCCTACTCTACGTCCTATACACAATATACATATATATATATGTGCATGTGAAGATTGTTGGCACACAAAGCCGGCGACATGAATGAACAAGTTTGAGTGAGACTGGCTTTGACATCATGGGCTGGGGCTACAGGAAATTCCATTGCAACACCAATGGCTCTAAGGCGGTTGAAGTCGGTTGAAGTCCACTTTCTATTATAATGCCGCCCATGTCGTCCATAGGGTTTTGGCAGTGACAGTGACCAAGAACTTATATATTCTTTTGTTTTCAACCAAAAGGATGTATGAAATGAAGGAGTCACCCAATGCTACCGGAGGGCTAGCACTGTGTCTCAGAGATGTGGCCATCCGATTCGTGGCAGACACTGCCGCGTAGCACGCGACACGTCGCGTGGTTAAGCGCGCGGGCGGGTCGAAAAGGAGGTCGGTGGTTTCGGGAAGCTGCAGGGCCGGTTCATGTAGACGAATGAAACTAAGCTAGAGATTGGAGTTGCATCAGGAGTAGTGCAGGAGCTGAAGTACAGGAGTAGTGTAGAAGGAGCCACCGGAATGTTCATTCTGTTTCACTAGTGCAGGACATGTGTTTCTTCCGCACTTCAAAAGGCTGTGTTCCAGGAACATCTCATCGGGCAAACAGGAACATTATGGGACCGTGGAGTCTTGCGATGTACCTCGGTCCATGAGCACATCGCAATTCAGGCGCCGTTTCTGGCTTCGTATTCCTGGGCCGTTTCTGGCACTCAAGTAAGGAAGATACATGATAGAATTAGAATTAGAATACATTATATAGAATGCAAATCAAGGATACCAAGGGTTATCAGAGCTGAAAGTGGGTCATCCAGATGTCCAATGTGATCCATTCATTACAATTTGGCTGTTTAATTTATATATATAATCATATGACTGGATCATCCTACGATGTCCTTGATGCAACTTACAGCTCGGTGGAGATGGTACTGGTAGCTGCCAAGTCAGGATCCCTTTTGCCGAACGACGACCGAACGAGTAGCAGAATCCTAGAATGGAAGGACGATGATGATGATGCGGCCCCTTAGGCCATGTGAAAGCGAGGCCATGTGAATCCTTTAGACCTTAGACCTCACCCCCCTCTTGGACAATGAACGGTGACTTTTCAACTACATGTCTTGCTTGAAAACCGCAAGGAGAGACTTGGACAGAGAAGGTTCCCAAGAAATGCATTGGATCACCCAAGACTCACGGAGCCGTAGTCTCATCGTTTCACCATGAGACACTGGAGATGCCAGCGCCATCTTTGCATGTGACACTGGAGCGGCTGGCAGGGCCGCCGCAGACGCTAAAGCTGGTGGGCTGCGAGACCGGTGGTCAGCTTCTCCAACAGTTGGAGCTCATCGAAGCTCGGATGTGGGGAGGCATGCCAAACGATGGATTTCCGACTTAAGTTCCTGATTTGTGTAGGGAATAAATAAACACTATGACACATCCTAATTGTGCGTCCTAGTTGGTTTCATTCAACCCCAACTTCCAGGCAGTCCAACACTGCCTGGATTCCGCACAGTCCGTCCGAAGACGGAGGCGGCAAGGCACATGAGCAAAACACGCTTTCTCATCACCACCCTTACTCAAGCTGCAGCTTGCAGTCCAAATCGCGGACCCAGTTTGACATGCAGGCCCTTGGAGGGTAGGCGGCACTTCTTGATGGGCCAAGATGGGCCAACCAAGTCTCAATAATCACCATGACACGGCCAGCCTACGAGACAGTCCGAGCTCGGACAGTTTGGATGGTCGCGTTACTTCAATGTGTTTTTCTCAAGTCACTTGTGGACTTGTTCTTTTTCCGCTCCACTTCGTGACAAACCCAAGTGAGTTTCGACTTCGGTTGTCACTTTGGCTGTGATCACTTGGCCTCGCCCCGCTGCCACACTTTTTCAGGACCGCACGGCGGCCGCGTCGTGGCTCTATGGTGGCTTTCCGCTGCTGGAGGGGGAGCAGTTGAAGGGGGAGATTACTCTGAAAGAGGCTGGGACCAACGTGCCCAAAAAGGGTGGTTTTGGACCCTGGGCACCTTTCTTGGTGAGGCTCTGAAAGTGAGCGAAACATGGGGGGGGTTCTGTGGATTCTGTGGAACGGCAGGGGGGGGTTGGGATCGTTTGGGATGAGATGTGTTGAGACCCTTGCGGGGTACTCGTTGATCTGGTCCCGCTTTGTTCCACTTGGCATGTTTGGAACTCATAGAGCTTTGCCGTGCAGTATCCTTCTAGAACCAACATGGATTTTCAGACTGATGAGGCCTGGTAACTGTACTGGTTTTGAGCCTGAATGCAGCTAGAGTCTCAGCCTGGAGGTCCTACCCTGGAGAGATTGGACGTCTTGGGATGGAGATGAACTCTATCAGAGACGTTTGGATGCTCGGCAGAAGATGATCTTCGATGAGCGATTCTATCGAAACCATGGTTTGGGGCACGGCTTCGTTCAGTCACTGATTCGACATGTCAAATTCCAGATATGACCTCCATGAATGAGCGCACGGTTCCTGTGAGTCTCCTTGCAAACACCGGTGTGCGTCGTTGTTGCGATTCATTGGCATTTCACCCTCGCTCGTTGCCTTGTAGAAGCTCGCGCAACGATAGGAACTGGAGGTCAATGTGCGTAACATTCTTTGTTCGGTATCCCAATGCTACTGTTGATGAATGGAGGAACCATTTGGAAAAGGGGCAATTAACAACTGCGTATTGACGGTTTTGGGGGAAGTTCTAGATTTAGGGGCGGTGCTAGTGCTTTTCTGCTACTGTTTCCAGGGCTCCAACTGCTCTTGACAAGTTTTGTGTGAGTGTGTGCGTGTGTGTGTTTTTCTTTGGGGGGAGTGGAGGGGGCTAGCTTCTGAGCGTGTTGCCTTTCTCGCAGTCTCAGGAGCAGCTGGCATCCAAGAACTCCTTGGCAGAGAGACAGCTGCGGACTACACGGAGCCGACCGCCGGATCTGAGCCTGGTATGTTGTGCCTCGGGTCCGCAGCGTATCGCCCTGCTGGAAGGAGATGAATCACTGACTCAAGTCCTAAAAAGGTTTTGGGCAGTGGCTAGAGCCTATTTGTGAACTGCCTGGAATTGTTTCGGCGACGTATAGTATGTCCGTGGGCCCTGGTACGAGTGGCCCTTAGGTTTAGTAGCTGACAATAGCTCCCAATTCATCCTGTCACACAGGGCTTTGTAAGCATCATCGCGTGGACCCAAAGCAACAAAGAGGTGCTTTTCCATATCTTCTTGGTTGGAGGGTGGTAGGAAGAAAGCATTCCCAGAGAAACTTCGGGATCTGAGGAGGCTTAGGCTCATTGATGATGAGAAACATCAGGATTTGTACAAATTAAACACACCCCAGACATCCTCAGGCCGCTTCGACCGCCAGACCGGACGACGCGGTCACCGGGGTCGTTGGGGCGGCCAGACCGAGGTGGCCAGACCGAGACAGTGTGGCTCTATGCGAACTCTGATCAGTTGGCACGCGGATTTACGAGCTTCACATGGAGGGGCCCGGAAGAAGGGGGGGTCCGGAGAGGAGGCTAAAAGGGATGGGTGTGGGGAACGAAAGATTAGTGTTCTTGGCAGAGTGACGCCATGACGAAGGAATCATGATGAATCATAGTTTTGTTTTTCAACGAACATACCGGCCAAAAGGAGGCGGAGGAGGTGGATTTCCTAGGATATGTTCCAGGTCCGGTAGTCTCTCCAGTTTTCCAGTTTGAGGGGTTTTGAATGTTATAAGTCAACCAAATCGTTTGAGGTCACTTACGGGGTTCCCAAAAGGTCGCCTTTGAAGAAGCTGCATAAACTTGTTGAATTGGATGAGTGCCCTGGAAGCTCTCAGGTGGTTCGTGTTCGCGGAGGTGCCACGCGGTACCTGGTACGTAGATCGATCGGAGTTTCCCGCGTGCGCCAGCTGAACATGAGCCTCTTGATGAGATCGATGGCATTACATGCCTGTTACTGAGCCTTTGTTTCTTGGACTGATTTTTGTCGAACAGTGTGTTTCTCGTAGGAGACGGCTGGTCTTAGAGCTGATGGGCCTCCAGTTCAGTGGCAACAACACTGGCAAGCTGCTTCAGCTCAAACAGACCCAGAGGGACTTGGACAGCTTGGCACATGCAAGGCAGCAGGCCGGGATCATTGATCCCAAAAGCGGCTTGGTACGGTGTTTTTTGAATCAACTGTATGGTGGCTTATGCAAGAAATGGTTCATCTGAAGCATGGGAATGAACCATGCAGTTGATACCATACAGATAATTACTGTATTTTGGAATCAACCATCTGTGTCTTTGAAATGGTTCATCCCATTTCCCACGTATGCCACTTGCTGTGATGCAAAAGGCAGGAAAGACGCATCGAAAAAAACCGAGCAGTGGACGCATGCTGCCGCTTCCATGTCGTGTTTTTTCACAGATGTTGAAACACCGCACCAGTGTCCGACCAGAGAAAACATATGCGGCGTTTGGCCGATATACATGTTTACCTGAACAAATCAATGTATGTATAAACACATGCATTTTTGCGGATGTTTTTCTTGCGAGCCCAGGTGAGAGGCTAAAAGTTCAGTGGCCTTTTGGCGAACACTCGCGTGAGGAGGTCCAAGAGGCACTGGCCAAACGGCTTTTGGTGCTGAAAGAGGCAGGGGGAGATACCCTGGTGGGATGACCACGGTGGGTCATGTGGACATTTGAGTAAACAAGTGCCCAAATCTGTGAACGACCATCCAGGGAGAGGAGGTTGATTGTATAGCCACATTGAGACTTGAGACCATATGATTCCCTGTCAGTGACCGCCACGGTGCTGTGGTGCAGCTATGGTTGTAGAATGTTGTAGGATTCGCCGTTGCGACCCCAACTTGGTCCTGATTTGGGCTCATGGGTGTCCCAGCCTCATGGTCTACCCTTTGTTTGGGAGGTTCCTTTCGTGGGCCCAAGGTGCATATCCCTCAGGACTTGAGAAATTGCCCATGCAGCCAACTCAAGATCCGTGTTTTTTCATGATCCTCAAATTTTCAGTGACCCCCGAAGCAGGTGGCGAAAAGAGGGCTTTCCACCCTGGGTCAAGGCTGTTTCGAGGGTCACTCACCTCCTGGGAAGGCGGCGGCAGCGGCCGACTCGAGCGCGACTCCTTCACAGCGTAGAGAGATGGCGGTCGGGAGCTCAGGGTGGACCATGCCTTACTGCGACCAACGGGGCTAACTTGTCAGAGGTGAGATGTTCTAGCGATTTCTAGTGCACCATATAGTTATATAAGTTGCAGTAATTGTTGGGAAGGGTGCCCGCATGGGGCAAGCCCTTCAGGTATTTAACTTGCTCGGTAAGAGATAGTTTTGGGGTCTTACGTTCCCTCACCAAGTGACACTGCTACAAAGTGGCAGCCTGGATGGAAAGGGGGTGGGTTGCAACTGGCATTCGCTCTTGGCCTACCATGTAGTACATGGATCATTCGACCCCGGGTGTGGGCCATTGGCTCGGGACCTAGTGGCATCCTGGTTTCCACCAGGCTTGAGGGGTGAGATGTTGGAGCGGGATCATGGTTTCCAGGCACTTTCTTTAGCTTAGAGATGGAATGTTGTGAGTGTGTTGTGCAGTAATGTCAACCTGACATTTGCATCAATAGTAATATGGTATTTGGCCTGCCTGGATTTTGCAATACTACTTTTTATTGCGCCAACATCCAGGCCCCAAAATGGATAAAACAAAATGGGCGGGTCAATTACAAACATGAGACAATCATAATCAAAATCATGTTTTTCTCTCAGATCACAATTTGCCTTCAGAATGCTTTCTCTTTTAGTTGCGTCTCAGAAATCTCAGGCAGACCTAAAAGAAAACAAAGAACATCTCCTGTTCCTTTTCTTTTGTTCTTCTTCTTGTTATTCTGTCTTTTTCTTTTGTAGGATCCTTTTTCATCTTTGCCCATCAGATGTCCAAAAACTTTGGCTAGCCAAAAGCTTTAGCAAACAAATATATACAACATAATTATCTTCCTTTAGACTCCTACCCCTACAATTATAAACCAACATACAATAATAAACCGACCCCCCTGCAGCCCTGTTGGCTTGTTAGTTATATTGCGCGTTCCCTTTTACTTTTAATCTATCTTATCTTTGTCCTGCTCCTGTTCCTTTCTCTTTTGTTCAAAATGAAAGCAACATGAAAGCAAATGGCCTGGAAGTTTACAATTGCGATTGAGATGTTTGACCTCCAAAACAAAATACTAGTTTTTTTTCCATAGGGGTTTACAAATGCGAAGTTAACATTAGATGCCAAAATTCGTCACACCATGTCACACCTTTGGAAATCATAATAAGAAAGCTTGGGTTCACAACCCCGTGGCATACCCTAAGAATGCAAACTTTACCAGAAATCCATCTCCCGGAATCCAAAAGTCCTTCCACTCGCACCAGTGACCCATGCACCTTGGAGTTGTGTGCATCGTGGAGTTGCTGGATCTCACTCTCCGCCGCCCTGTCCCACACCCGGAAGGACTTGCTGTGCAACCTGGGCGTGGTCCTCCTGCTGAAGGCGCCTCCCTCGCTGGAGGATCTCCATCGCGCTGTGCAAATTCTCCAGCAGAGCTCTGAGCTGGAGCCGGAGGCAGATGCTCGGGACGAGGGGTGAAACTGGAGGGAGGAATGCCGAGGTTGCTTGTGTTCTGTTTTTCTCTGGCGCTGCGTGCCAGAAGGGAAGGGTGGTTTGAGAAGGGAAGGAGGTGAGAGGTATTGATAGGTGACAGTGGCTAAAACAAACTGGTTTTTGTATGTTTTTTGTGTTTTGGAGGTTCAAAGGTCGTGTGAATGAACCGCCCTAGAACTACGGAACAAGAGATTGTTAATTAATACCCAGACACTCCATGTATGACATATTGCCTACATTGACCACCAAAACCACCGGAATGTAGGCATATATATATATATATGGCATTCTGGGATGCAGTATGTTTTTCTCGTGCACTCACATGAATTCGATGGTTTCCAGTGGGGGGCGTTGAGATGGCCTGATCTTTTGACCCTTGTGGGCCACAGGGTGGCCGACAGCGTGTTTTTGGGATTGATAGGTGAACCTCGATGAGTGCATTTTGGACATAAACTTCCCAGGTTTTGCACCCAGCATCCACTAGCTGGTGAGGATGGGATATGGATTCAAGGGGCAGCTGGCCATAGGCTGGTTGGCTGATTATACCATGTCTAGGGTATTTTGAGGGATCCTCCTTCCAGGACGCACCCAAACCTCCAGCCAATGTATTCTGATGTGTTGTAAAAACAGCAACCTTGGCTTGAGGCCCTACGGCTCCTCCCGATCGTTCTTTTTGAGATCCCCTGCAGTCTTTGCAGTCCCGTTCTTCGGTCTGCCGGAATTCGATCCCCTGGAACGTCTATCATCAGAGGCGGATCCACACTCCGAATCTTCATGGAACTGGAACATGGCTCCCTTTTGGAGAACAGGTGGTGGTTTTCCACTTCCATGATGATTCCAGGAAGCGTTTCTCAGCCTCCAGGGAGCAAACGAACGCCCACGGACACGCAGCGAGTGTGGGTGGATGGTGAGGCCACGGACACGCAACACTTCCTGGAACGGGCGAAGATTCTACTGCGCTGCTTGCAGCCAGAGGATGCAAAAGAGGAAGAGGACGTGGAGGAGATGGCAACCCCCCGCTTTGTGAGATTGTTTTCTTTTCTATAACTGGGACATTTGCCCGTGGAAGACATTTCTTCCCTACAAACCAGGGACTATCCACTTCCATGTTAGTGAGTCAAAGTCCGAGTCTACAGTCTACATGTGTGTGTTTTTTTCTCCCCCTCTGTGCATTTACATTAATTATCTGTAGTTGCATGACGGCATGTTTTGAACTTGTGTTGAATATGTTTGAAGATGTTCCACAGAGGGCCAGCATCTTCCACATCTCGGGTATGGATTGGCATGGATTCCGCCAAAGTATGGGAACACTTTCTAGATGTCTTGTGCCACAAGCTGGATGCCACCAATCCCCTGCTTGGAACAGACATTCCCCGGACCCAAAGTGCATCTCACCGGAGGATTCGGAGGAGGCCGAGGCCGACGTCGACCTCACGCGGCGCCGCCCTCTGTGGCGCGAGAACACGTTGGCACCGGACACCTCGGAGAGTCATCGGAGTCGACAGCTGCAGCGGATGTGGCTGAGAACATCCACTGGGACCTGGTTGTGCCACTGGGCTTCGACCAAGAAATCGGGCACAAATCCAAGGACACATTGTGTGGGCATGTGTTGGAGAGAGGTTCAAGAAGGTGCATATTGTCGATCCTTGAAACTAAAGCGAGTGATGTGCATTTCTTTCGACGTGAACTGTTCAAATTTGTTCAAGTAGTCGCAAAGGTGTGTGGGATGCGAATCAGAACCACTTGGGCTGAAACCTGGGAATCTAAGGCAAATTGCGGCGAGCTCCAGTGGTGATTTCTTTAAACCCAGATGATGCATCAGCACCAGATTTGAGCCCTCGATGTGTGGAAGCCATGCTCCACATTTCTTCGATGCTTCATGATGATATTCACCAGGTAGGATCTGGTTTGGCTGGGCTGGTTTGGTTGCTCTTGGATTATGGCTTGCGATGCAACCGATCTGCACAATTGATGGTTTTGATGGCCGTTCGCTTCACGCTTTGAAGAAGCCCCAAAGGAGATGGACATTGTGGAATATAGAACATATAAGTCAATGTGTATATCATATATATATAGAGAGAGATTACAATAGAACTATAGATCGAAAAGATGTACAATACATATTAAGGGTCCCTTCGGTCATGTTAGCTTCTTATAAAGGGCAGAATGCTCCGCATGACTGCCTGTGACCCCACAACACTACCGCGACCCTTGGGGATGTGGCTTGCCAACTACTCGACCTCGGTGAGGTCGCCTCAACTCGAACTCTGTCAGGTAAGCGTTCGACCTTCGAATCTTTGAAGGGAGCCCTGTGCGCATGTCCTATGCCAAGCTGCTTGGGGATCGTTCGGCACTTCCACTATGACAGGCCCGCTACGGGCCTGGGACGTGGGTCGAGTAGACACACGTTGCGGGGTGAAACGTTTTGACCACCTGGCACAATCATTCCGGAAGCAAACACGAAAGTGGAGATCGTCCCCAACAGAATGAAAGGCCTCGGAAATAGGTCATCTCTTTTTCTGGGAGGACCATTTTCTAGCTCCGTTTTCATGTTGGACGGGCACTTCCAAGCGGAAGGTTGATCGGACGTGGTTTAAGGACGATCCCCCCTCAGTTCTTGGCATCCCGATCTGGTCGGCGCTCAGGAGGCTCCGCTTGTTCTACGTAAAGACCCAGGGTCTCCACCCAATTCGGCCCAGGAACGACCGACCGTGGCACCACCGCGTTCCGGGCGACCGGGTTCCGGACCGATCGGACGTGGTCCGGGGACGCCTTCCCGGCGGCCCTGGACCCGAACCAGCTGCTACATGTTTGAGGTCCGAAACCCTGGTTGTGAGGGGCCCTTCGGGTCAGTTTTTGGGGTGGTTTTTGAGCTGTTTGGGGGGGCAGAAAGTATAGGTGGTAATTATACATTTTCTTGAGAATCCGCTGCTCGTATCATAGCATCACCTGGATGAAACTTTGTGGATATGCACCATGCGCGGGAAATCGTATAACACCTGGTTCTTCAAAGCGGCCTGTAAAGTATGGCTCCAAAAAGGTCACGACGTTGAAGAAACTGGTAGCTATAATGTTGCAGTTCTTCCGGGTCTCGTTCTGGCAACTCTAACTGACGACAGACAATGATCCACGCCTGAATCGAAAGCACATATCACGAAAGGTAGCCCTTTAGGGGATACCTTGAGTTTGTCTTGCGAAGCAAGTGTTGGGACGTCCGGGTCTAATAATTGATCGCTCAATTCAGACCCCCCCCCCCCCCCCCCCCGACAAATCGATTTTCCAATACGGCCCCCCCCCCCCTCCCCCCTCTAAAATCAATTCTCTCCTGGAGATTCTCTTCGTGAGCCTCTCATGATTTCAGGATAGTTGAAACCCTCTTGAACATTCAGAAAGAGTGAATACGAAATTCTAATCACGAAAGGTGTTCTGTGAAGCACGTCAATTCTCTCCTGGGGAGCGTCTTCGTGAGCCTCTTATGGTTTCAGGATAGTTCAAATCCTATGATGTTCCGATTCAATGCCCACCGATGATCTGAGCCATGGGGCAAGTTTGTTTTCCTAAGAATCTTTTTGAACATTTCGAGAGCACATGTTTGAACATTTAAAGTGCATATGAACATATATGTACGAAAGGTGCCTCCGAGGGGATAAATCACCATGTCGAACATTGCATTTTTGTTCCTGCCTCTCGCGTTCTCTTTTCTTCCCGCTGTCCTACCTTTCGTGTCTCCCTCCTCTCAAGTATATATATATATATATGCCCCAGCATCTTCGTGCCTTAGTGTCAACACGATTACACTGACTGGCAGAAACCTGTTAGCCACGTTCCAGTTCCGTGCCGAAGCTCCAGTCACAGAGAGTTGACTGTGTGGCATTGTGGCAGAGACCTACAACTCGGGGTCCAAGACCTACTTCTGCAAGAATTGGGTCTCTTCTAGCCAGAGATGTTAGCCATGTAAGCAATTATGACCTACATTTGGTGGCTTTGGGTGGTGAAGGTTGGTCATATTGGCCTACATGAATCCTTTGGGTGGCATTTTGCCATGCCATTATTCGTCGAAAGATCATCCCAACTGACTGAGGTCCAACCCCGCCCGAGACTTAGAGACTCCAATGCTTGACTCCTTGGCATGCATGCGCTGTGAAGGGCTCTTGGGCAGCTTCCACTATGGTCAGGCAGGGGGATCAGTGCCGTGAAGGGCTTCGAACTTGGGTGCGTCCGATTTCGTTCTTTTCTCGGAGCGGATCCAGTTCCCTGAAGAAACAGACGAACAAACAGCGCGGAATGCGAGCTACTGCGGGCCACTCAGATGCCGGGAGCTCCAAGCATGGATGGATGGGTGCACGGATGGCTTGGATTTCCGATGGGGACCCTAAAGTCTGTGGCTGATGCCGAGATTGTCCGGATGTGCCAGAAGGTAAGTTCACAATAGTATACAATAGTTAGTTCACACATGATGTAGTTTGACTCAAGCCTGGTTCTTAATTTTGCCTCTTTTGCAATCGTAGAAAGCCCATCCTCCTAAATCCAACCTAGCGCCAGTCAACTGGCGAACCCGCCGCTGAACAGTCCGGTGTGCTCCATCGAACGAGTGATGTGAACAAGGGTCAAGTCGTTGTGAGACTCGGGGAGGTGGCGAGTGGTCGACTCTCATGACGACTGTTTGCGTTCGATGGATGTCGCACGGAGGTGGCGTAAAGTCGTTGTGAACCTGCGTCGGCCAAGACACATCAAACAACAACGGCCTAACTTGTGACGTGCTTAGGCCTGTTTGTGTTTGGACCCCCCCCTGCCTGAGACTATTCAGGGAATCCCTGAATCTATTTCCGGCTTAGGTAGAAACTATTTCTAGACTAGTAGGCTATTAGTAGACATAGATCACATAGAGGCACCTCCTTTGGACACAAAACGTAACTATCAATCTGTTGCCAACATATGCAACATGTGGCACACTGTATAAACTGGTATAATGCGAAAAGCCGAATAATTTTGGCTGAAAATTGTGGCTGTCCATGACAAGTGGGCTGGTGGCAACACATATGTTCTTTTCAACTTGCACTACACCGCGAATGCATTTCCTTAGTGTATTTTGGTCCACATCATGACTTCTCCTTCACACACCTGTAAAACAGGAGCTAAAAGAGGATGCAAGAGGGTAAGTTATAAATAGTCTCTAAACAAATAAAAACATCGCATACCCCCCTCAACACACAAATGATCAAATAAAGAGGTCACCGCATGTTATAAGGCCGGCCTAACGGGTCCCTGAATTGGTTTGAACCACTTCAATCTCGCTACCAGGAGATCGAAGCTTTGTGCTTCAAACATCTTCCTCGTCCAGTGCTCAGCTTGGAAGATCAGCTCGAGATCCTTAACCGCCGGGCCAAGCTTCTGGAGATGCTCATGGGTAAACCTCCAAGGTGCATTGGTGCATCAAGCGTGTGGCATTTACAAATAGCCATAGACTCTCTCTCTCTCTCTATAAATAGATATGTGTATATTTGTAGTGCTCAACAATATAGAGTGGTGCAAACGAAGCATTTGTATAATCTCTTCTTCCCATGGCTTGCACAGCTCGGAGGACCTACACACGGCACCCCAAGACCGAGATGGATGCGCGTGATGGGGGGCTGATGAACCATCCACCAAGCCACACGCTCTTCCGTAGCCGCGTGATGCGCAGCCATGGCTTTCCCATCCACAAAGCGAGCCGCCACGTCGCCCACGCCAACGAGAACTACTTGTCAACCACCAAATCCTGAGCCTGCTCCATGACCGCACGAGACACGGCCCAGGGCGTGTGTTCTGTTTAGACCATTTGGTGGGTTGGTCTGCAAGTATGGGGGCCAAAGACCTCTAGACCAAGACCGTTGATCATGATCACAGTCTTGTTTCTGGGATGATGTGTCAGCGTGCTGCCTAATACGGGCCAGACGCGTTGGCAGCTTGCGTGCTGAGCAGAAAAGCATGTGCTGCAGATGCGAGAGAGACCGTTCCTACGTGTTGGTCTTTTTGCATAAAAGCCCAGGGGGGATGCACATTAAAATGGTTTTTGGTTTGCTAAAGTGGACTCTATTTGCATAGCTTTTTTGAACATCGTGGTATGGGTTGAACAGATGAGCTTCTATCACCCGATGCACTAGTAGAGGTCACACTGGTGCACACTGGGTAGGTTCGGTCTACCGTTGTGAAGGATTAGGTGCTAACATGCTCGATGGGCCAAATCCTTCTTTAGGTCCAGGCAGCTGCCATGTTACTCTTTTCATCGCTTTTCACTGCTTGTTGAACGTGGACTCGACCGTTTTGGTGACAGACCTGGAGTTGCCCAGTGTGAGACGTTCCTATTGTGCAATTCAACCACCAACAAGTCTAACAAGGGCACGATCTTCATGAACCCCTGTGGCAATATTTGCACCTCTCCGCACGACCCACCTTCCGCCCTTGCCGCGCCCCATCGCCCAAAACGTCCCTTTTCCCCACACCGATGGCGATCGGAACGGGTCGGAACGCAGACGCCAGGAACACCATCTCCAAGTTGCACTTGGTCGACCTGGCCGGCTCCGAGAAGACGGGCAGCGACGAGCGGAAGCATTTGAAGGAGCACCGACACCGCTCGGCCGCGGTGGACCGGAGTGGGCATCACAAGAGAGAAAACAGCGACCATCCGGGGGTATCACCATTTCAGAGGAAAAGTTTTGGGAGTATCAGCCATCCATTGGGTATTATGGTATCACCATTCAGTGATCCATTTGAGACAAGGGAATTGTCTTTTTTGGTATTGGATTACCGTAAACGCTTCCCCCCATACTGCGCCCCGTGCTGTGCCTGAGCTGACATCCTTGGAAACTGGGAGCGCTGCGGTGTTTGGGTATCCCACTTGTTTGATCCAATCCCAAGTTTGGGATCAAGATGCATCAAGTAAGTAAAGACAATTACATAATTGGGCACATGTGCAGACGACTCCGCACGTGCAGAGTCGAAGCGCAAGAAGTAGAGCGCCCCCCGCCTGCTGGGCCTGCCCGCCTGCGACTCCACGCGACTCCACGCTTCGGAGAATCAGGAGAACGTCAACATCAACAAGTCCTTGAGCGTGCCTTGGATTGTTAGTGTACGTGAAGGTATGGTCAAATGGATCACTCATGATCTCTCCCCTGCAGATAAACATGGAATCCCCAAAACCACTGGGTTGCATAGAGGAAAATAGATTCTGTGGGTCAATTCCCTCGGTCCATTTTTTTGCGCGGGGGTACTTGTGTTTTTTGGTTCCCATCACTGCGGGGACATGCCAAAAGCATCCAAAACCGTGCTTGGCTCGATCTGTTACTTGTTTGTCCCGACTGCTTAACAGCCCTCCACAAGTTCGGAGAACATGCCAGGCTATGAAGATCTATACCGAAAAGGACTTGGACACCCGATGTCACATTCTAGTTTGTGTAAAGTTCTTCCTTCAATAGTCAATCAAGGTTGCAAACCATGATCTTGAGTGTTGAGCCTGGACTGTTGAGCTTCCTGATATCACCTGGAGGTATACCGATATCACCTGGATCAAACGAGCGTCCCAGATGTGCCAACATGTGCCAACCATTCCCTGTGTCGAGACCGACAGCTAGGCGTTGGGCAACGTGATCAACGCCTTGAGCTCTGCGAGCTCTGTCGCTGGTGGCGTCAGGCGAGTTCTTTTTTTCCTCACAGGTAATTGATATAATATATATATAGTTTTATTTATATATATCTCTCACTGCTGTCTTGGTACCTTCAGCTCCTTTGCTGTCAGGGCCATTCCTCTTAGGTGCTTGGGCGAGCCCCACGAGCGAAGGGTTGGCCGTATCAACTTGAATCATTTTCTCATTGCCATGCCTCCGACTGACAGGTGGAGGCATTCGCCCAATATATCACCACCTTCCAGTGGCTCCAACGGAGACCTGACCTAGAAATTCTCGGCTTGAGCCCTCGTTCCCACTCGTTGACTTCTGCCATCCTACTGGGAGAGAGGCCGGAATGCCTGCCAGGCGAAATGCCTTTGTGCCATACCGGGACTCCAAGCTGACACGTGTGCTTCAGGAAGGGCCTGCCCGCAATGGTTGTTTTTTTTCGCCATCCTGAGTCCGGGTCCAAGTATATCTTGAGAGAAGAGTTGGACACTCCAACGTGACCTGAGTTCAATGTCCAGTCGCATCAATCATTATCTAATTCTATGTTTTTCGCGCTGCAGAGCTGAGAAAGAGAGGACTGGGATATGTCAGGTTGAACATTGACCACCCATGCACCTCACAGTTGAGGTTTCTTAAGGTTTCCCTCACCTTTCAACCTGAGGACCGAGAGGACTGTGCTTCTTGAGGTTTCCCTCACAGTTGATTGACCACCCATGCACCCATGTCTACGGACTGGACTGTCAGTACTGAGTGAGGTTGATTGATGGAACGGTGATCATGTTCATTCAGGGTTGTTTCTCCCAGTTCGGCATGTGTGGCAGGTGTGAGAACTACTCACATTGTGTCCTGGAGCACGGGTCTATTAGGCCTTGAGAGGTTCTTTGACCCACTATGTAAAGGCATTGATCATTCGTGAGGGGGACTGTTGAGGAAGAATTGTCGAACAAGCATCCTCAACCTATGTTCTTTTGGGATTTTTGGGTGAAGATTGCTTTGTGGTGTGAAAAAATACTGTAGTTTGTTTTATCACCTAATGCATGTAAAACTCATTCTGGAAAGGCTGCTGTTTAACGCTTTGTTGCAGTGAAGATGGCATTGGAACACACTTTTTACAGAACAGGTGAAGAGGCGAGGTGGACCGAGGTGGACAATATCTTGACAACTGTGGGCCCAACGCAGCCACGCTCAACATCAGGAACCCATTAAGACTTGTTGAAACCATATGTCAGCCCAAATATCAAGCCAATGGTTTCACAGGCTATGGATATATATATATATATATAAATTCACGTCATTCCCAATATTTTGCTTAAGGACTTCACGACTTGAATCAAATGAGTCGAAACATGCATGACCAAAAGCCATGCAACACCCGTTCCACCAATTTTTTGTCAAAGAGCCAGTTGCCTCCGCGCTTGCCACCCTTGGGCAGGAGAGCCTGGGCGGAAACGCCTTTTGCACGATGATTGCCACCATTAGCGCCTCAGCATTTGTAGGGCTTGGCAATGTCCTGGGAAGAGCCATTTGCCTGGGAAAAGGATGGAAAAGGCATGGAAAGGATGCATTCTTGACTGACAGACTGATAGACTCGACACGTTCATGTGGGGGTCTACTTGGTGGGGGTGACGGTGAATTGATCGACGACTCCCGTCGACACCGAGAGGCCCACATATAATAGCTTTTCAGAGGCCCCACTTTTGCTGCATGGAACCGGCACAAGAGCGTGGGTGGATCATCCCTCTCAACTGACCTGCTTTCAGTTGGTCGATTTGAGTGAAGCTTCCGAGCCAGTTCAGCATCCAGTAATGGTAGAGGATTGCCTGATGTAACCTGCCTATTGATAGCATTGCGGCTGTCGATTTTGTCATTCCCAGACTTTGGAGACTGAAAGCATCACGTGGGAGCCGCGGAGCAATTGTTGAGGGACGATGTCGCCCAGTTGGCCGCCAGCCAGCAAGTCAACTAAGTTCAACCCAGTGAGACAAAGAAACAGCCCACAACGAGTTGACGCAATAGACCGACAGACCGACAGTTTGTTGCCACCATGGGCCGAAGCTCTGCTTGCCTTCATGATATCCCTGGTTTTGCTGAGGGTGCATGTTCATTGTCCCTATGGGTGAATCCCTTGCAGGGAAGATATTTGTTTTCTCCTGGACAGCTAAGCGCTGCACTTCATCGATCCGTGCGCTGGACATGGAACGGTTTCCTGGAGGACCTTTACAAAAACAAGCTGATTATGATTTTCCCATATTCGACACTGCAATCCACGAATCTACAAATATGATGGAAGATCATATAGATCATCTATTACATAATCATCACATATAATGTCACATAATGTATATTTATATACATATATATAGAGAGAGAGATCTATCCTGGAACATGGCCGCCGGAAAGGCAAATTTTTCCTGTACAAGCAGGGGATGGTCCACTTGCATGATTGTTTCAGGGAGGCATCGGATCATGTATCGAATCTATTGGATTCTCTCCTCAAGCAGCTGGGCGCTTCCCAAGTCGCTCAGGTCCAGCAGCCGTGAATTCCGAAGAGACCTGGTCGACACTCCAGTATGCCAAGCGCGTCCGGGGAGCCCGGAGGACCGGACGGTGCCGTGGTAGGTGTCCCATGATCAGCAACCTATTGACAGTATGATACAGTCGGTCAAAGATGATACTGGCCTTGCTAACCATATCTAACCATATCTCTCTATATATATATACTGTTACTTCCACAGTTAGATACTAGTATTTCGTCGGATACCCAAGATCCACCTCAGTTGGAGTTGGTCCTATGGTCAATGAAACTGGGAAGCTCCAAGGAGCGGACGAACTACAGCGGTTTCAGAGTCTATGGCACAAACCCCTACTTGCCCTTTAAATGGGGATTCATCATATAAGTATCAGGGGGATTGTGCCATTTACTCTCCATCCACTATAAAAGGGGGTTCAAGCCTGTTTTGACCTACCACCCTTCTCAGGGGCCTCAAACTGCCATTGGTTTTTGGTGGATGTGCTTGTGTTGGGAGTCTGATTTCGTGCCGAGGCCAAGACCATCCGCGTGGCGGCGACACGAAACAAAGAGAGTCAACAACGGGAAGAGCTGCAAAGGGAGGCGCCGGGTGTGCCATGTGTGTGGCATTAGAGGAAGGGATCCTGAAGAAGTCCTGCACCTATCGCAGAGTGTGTGAGTCAGCTTGGCACTGTGAGGGGACAGGTTGGATAATACTGTCAATCCTGCCCGGCACCTGCGAACATTTTGCACTCACTAGCTGCTTTGCAGGTTGATGAACTGCGGAAGTTTGCACAAGAGGCTCACCAGGGCGCGCGAGACGTGGATCACGTCAGGGATGGGACATGGTGAGCAAGATGTTTGTAGAACATCGATGGGCTAAAGGGTTTAGTTAGGACCGTTAGGCCTACTAAACGAGGGACATGTCTCAGTGTTTTCTCTTGCAACTGGTTTATAGTTGTTGAATGCAAAGTGCACATCCAAATAACATGACCATATTGTCTCCACATGGTCGTTGTCCAATTTCCGATTGCTCAACATATCTCAACATCATAGTGCCAGGCCTCATCAACAGAGGAGCTGGAAGCCAGGCACAAGTCAGAGATTGAGGCCAGGATCTTCCAACATGCTTTGATATGGACGGAGAGAACATGAGATGGACTACTCAAGGTGATATGGATGGAGTAGCCATGAGTGGCACTACTCAAGGTCGGACTGCACTGGATTCCACTGGAAAGCAAGTGCAAGAGCCCCACGACTTTTTGGACCCAACCAGTGAGTGGAGAGTGGGTATCCCGATGAATCCCTGAACCTAAAGCTTTTGATTTGGGATTGGGCCCTGCTTTGCTCCTCCCTAAGCATCAGTGGAGCGGAGTTTTTGCCCTTGTGCAAGATCATCATGGTCTCTAGCTTTTGGAACAAGACCGTTTTTGTTTGTACAGCGAGATCGGAGAAAAACAAACACATGAATGCTGAAGCAGTTCTTCGACGGTAGGAGTGCCATGGGCACCCCCCCCGTTAAGCTCCACCTGCTCAGAAATGAGGGGTCCGAGAATCGCTCCCCTGGCCTCCACCCTAGTAGCCATGGCCTCCAACCTAATAGCTTCAAAATCCTTCAAGCCCGTCCCTGGGGCGCATCGACACATCGGATGAACCTGATGAACGTTTGTAGCTCTCTTAAGTTAGGTCGCTGTGACATCGCCCCAGTCTCATTTGGAATCGGAACTTCACATTTGCCCCTCCCCTTGTCCCTGCTCGGCTGCCCCCTTCACGACTGGAGCCTTTTTGTTCTTGTGGCATGTTGTGACCTTGTCATGCGGGACTTGCATGTGTTTGGGTTGGGTTTCCCGATGAATTTGGTGCTTCATGGCCATCCTTTGCTGTGATGGCCGAAGAGGTTTTGCCCAACATGCGATTCGCCGGCCGAAGAAGAATCACTCTGAAAGGGATTCGAACGGATTTGTGCGAGGCCTTGGAAGCTTTCATGAAGCAGACCTGGGAGGAGAGCACGATGATTGTGTGAGTTTCGGGTCAATCCGTATCCCTTTGGGCATCCATCCATCGTGCATTGCTGGAATTCCGTGGCTGGAAGGACAAGCAACGCCTATCCAAAGAGCATGAGGAACAGAGGGAGTTGGCCAGACAAGAGGCCAGCAAGAAATGGGAAGATTCAGGGGTAGTTGCTTTTGAGCTTAATGTGTACCAGAATTTGATGTGCATTGCTAATTACAATCACCGTGCATTCCCCTTTGCCGTATAGGTGTGATTGGTCGTGTAGACATTCGTATGGTGCTCACCAATTTCCTCAATCTCCAAAGTTTGTATGAAGCTGTGGAAGACTATACACCGAGGAAGGTGCACCATGGTGCACCACACTGACATCATAGTGGCAAGACGAATCTGGACATCCAATTCCATCCAATTCCCTATTTGGCCTGTTCGGTATTATTGTGTTTTGCTAGCACATCATGACTAGACTAGGCCCAGGCAAGTTGGCCACGAGGAATGCGAGGTTTGGAGAAGTACTTAAGCTTGACAGGCTTCGAGTTCACTTGGTTTGGGGTGACCTTTTTGCCGCCTGCCGTGTTCTGAGACATTATAGAATCGAATCCTCAGTCTCATCGAAGTTGCTATTGCACGATTTTGATCGATTTGGTATCTCATGTTTCATAATTGTTGGTTCTCAATTGGAACAAGTCTAATATGGCACCCCAAACCCTCCGAATTCCCAGGTTTTCCTAGGTTCGTTCAGAACTTGCTAGTGGAGAAGGTTTCACTTTGAGAACGCTGATGGTCTTGAGAACGTGGTCCAGAGTCCAAGCCCTGAGATCTCCACTCCCGATGTCTTGGGGTTTAACCGCTCCATGTCACTGAAAAACGGAAAGGATATGAAAGGATCATTTATCCCTGAACATCCTTGAATCATAGCCTTCAATAGCCTTTAACCTTCAATACCCTCGTCCAATCATGGATGATCTTCCTTGGCCCTTGTTGATCCAATGCTCCTGTCCAAGAGCTTGAGCAGATTGGAAAAGCTGAGGCCACAAAGACATGATATGAAGCCTCTCCTCCACTCTCCGTAGAGAAGGATCCGATCCGAAGGATTTGACGGAGCTCTGTCTACGCCCTGTAGATAGGCAGAGGCAGGACAGGCACCGCTTCTCCAGCAAAATTGGACCAGACTATGGAGGTGTCCAACACTTCAGAATCAGAACGCATCAACAACTCGGAGTTTTTGCGCACTTTCCCCCAGTTGATGCCTCAGGGCAGTACTAAGAAGCTGTCGCGTCACAGCCAGGTGCAGCGGGCCAATGAGGAACGGCAAGCCGAACAGCGACGGAGGCAACATGGATGGCTGAAGCAGTGGGTTTGGGATTGTGCACCTGGAGCAGTGGGCTGCTAGGATAGACTTAGACTCGGATAGGCTCCCTGAAACCTTCTGCCCGGCTCCAGATTGGGGGACCGTTTCACCTCCAGGGGACCATGCAATACGATGGGATACCATGCAGTCCACACGACTTCGATGCGTGGATGGTGGTTCTCACCATCTCTCTAGGATCGAAGCTTTAGAGAAGCTGGGCGACCTCAATGTCACGCTTCAGCTTGGGAGCGCAGAACTGGCGGTGTTCGGGACGGGCCGGTGGTTCGGGACGAGCGCAGAAGGGATGGCCCATGAAGGTATAGTGTAGACCTCCCATGCTTCAAAATAAACATATGAAGAGGTCTTGCTCCTTCGTAGTTGCCTGGTTCCCTGTAAATAGCCTGTGGTATGCCATGTCTGGATTCTTTTGTATAGGTGTCACAATTTGTTTTCCCACCGCAACCCGCCAGAACACCTGGCAAGCGGGCGTGTGGCCGCGCGTCGTTGGATCGTCCGCAAGTCCGTGCATCCAAATGGGGGGATTATTGATCATTCTTAATCAAGAGTCTACATTAGTGAGGGCCCTTTTTCATGTGCTCAATCACTTCGGGATTAGACCAAGGAGTTTTTTTGAAGGAGTAGTAGATCCATGATAATCCTGAAGATTTGGACGGATAATGCTGACAGACTTCAGTGTGTTTCGCCGTAGGTCTGCCTTTGACCTCCTAGGTCCTTTGTGGCCTTGGGCCAAGCTGGTCATGTCAGCTGGCCACAACGCCTGGTGTGGGGCCTAAAGCAGCCTGAGCGTCTTAGCCAAGGCTATGCAATCCACCTCCAGAGAAGCTTTGCAGCGATTGAACTTGATCGATTTGGTAGGTGTGACATGGTGTGCCATGGGTTACTTGCAGCTAGTGCTCAACGGTAGCCCCAGAATGTGTTTCGCAAGGCTTCCGTTCTACGTCTTCCGCAACAACTCTTGGCACAGCAGCAAGCAGTGGCCGAGACCCAGTGGAGGGACTTGCTGAAGTCTCGATCGATTGGTGGTAGTTTCCCAGTGGTTCATTTGAGGGATTCCGTCTTCTGGTTATTCGGGTTTTTGATGCACCCTTATGTATATTGAGCTGTTGGCCTTGTCCAAGTGTTTGCCATATGTTGCCCAGCGTTGTAGGGGGAGCAGCTGAAGCACATTCGTGTCAAGCCCCAATGTGGCAAATGTCCAGCGCTGGCTGCAGAGCTTGCAATCCTTGTTTCATCCAATGGGCAAGTCCAAGGCGATCCCAGCCCAGCACCAATTCGTTTTCGCATACCTGGACCATTTATGACATTTGGGTGTTTTCGCTATCCGGCAGGCTCTTTGCCGCCGTGCTCTCTCTCTCTATGTATATTTAAGATTATATGTATAATATGTATATATATATATATACATAGACTCCCGATGATACTATGCCCTACTGTTTCAGGCTACTTCGTTCTTTTCTTCCAGACCAATTACTGTATATTTACTGGAATTATTTATGAACTAGATCCTACCCCACCTGCCAAACCGAAACAAGCAAAGCGGGTGGAACATCCCTTGAGTTGCAGCAAATTTGGCAACAACATGCAACAACCCCCAACTCGGGCCTACTTCTAAGGCGGAAATACCATGGGTCATTCTATGTACAGCCCTCCAAAGGTGGGTCGATGGTTTTTCATCGACACCCATATGTTGACCCATTGGGCCGGAAGCCGAGCAGAACAGGGGGCCGCCAGGTACGCCTGTACCGCGAGGGGGCCGCGGCAGAAGTGAAGGAATTGCTGGAGAAGGTGCAAATAGTGGGAGGTCACAGCGGATGGCGCAACAAAACAGATGACGTTTGGCTGCAGGTCACAGCAACGGCCCAGATCAAGCAGCAAAGGCCATGAAAACACGGAGGAATAATTGGCTTCTCCTGCTGCAAAACTGAGAATCATGTCCCAGCTGGGGGGGAACAGGCCAGAGAGAAACCCAAGGTGCAGGGCCATGAAGATGTCGAGTTGTTTTTTTTTTCGGAATCTACTCTTGAGTGCTCCCGTCTCCTGGCACCAGTGATTTGTGTGATTTGTGTGGGGTCCCTCACAGTTGGCTGGTGACTTTCTGGGCCCAGGATTCTCAACCCAGCAGAGACGGGATCGTGCGGCGGACATGCCAGCCCCACAGCATCACCAGATGGATTGATCAGTGTCTCGAGAGGCGTTGAAATAGCTTTGGATCTATACGATTCTTATCGATTCTTTATGTGAGGTGATAGAACTGATCGAACGGTGTATCCCGGAAAATCTAGCAAGCCAGATTCAAAAATGCTAGGTTTTGCCCCGAACACAAGCCCAGGGCCCCATCCGAAAGTCTCGCCGGTCCATCACCAGAATTCTGGGCCAGTGTTTTTGGCAAAGCACGCATCATGCTTTTGTCTCTTGAGCTGATGCCTCTTGACACATCCTGAAGCTTCCAGTAGACTAGACTTAAGAAGTCCAAAGACTTAACATTTAGCCTTAGAAGGGCCAGTTCGGGCCTGTGGGCTACCTTCTCTGATGAGCATATAAGAAAACAATGAACTATTAGAAAAGTATAAAACCAATAAGATTTTAGGATTGTGTAAATCTATTAATATTTGTTTTTTTAGTATTTTAAAGATGTTTTAGAAAAACAGGTGAACATTAAAAAGATATGTTTTTTTATTTTTCAATATTTTCTGGACAGGCAAAAACATATGTATGTGATTCGGCAATTTTATATATCTGGGTTGCTTGTTTGGAAAGTCGTCTTTTTTTAAATTTGTTCATGGTATGGACATTAAAAAGACAATCGGTCAATCTTGGATTGAATAGTGACGAATTTTGTGTTGAAGGGTTTTGAGGCGCGGTTGCATCTAGGTGAGGTGATCGTCTGCTTGCTTCAACAGGATGGGTTCACCGCAGCAGTGGCAGCACCTCTCAAACCTGGATTGGTACGCTAGGACAATCGGAAGAATACAAATGCAAAACATGGTTTGGTCTGGTAGACAATTATCACTAGGACACATGGACAACTAAGTTGGATGGTGGTCCACAAGTTTTTGGACTGACTTAATCATGTTGCACGGTCCTGCAATGGATGATGAATCCGATGCAGACCCCCTAGACGTGGTGATGGAGGTCGCATCGTTGAAGCGCAAGAATTCAGAGTCTCTCTCACAAGCTAGGGCTTGTAAGAAGGCTGTGAAGAAGGCTCTCCAGAAGTCCACGCCGACGCCAGTGCGCAGACCAGACTGAAAGGCAGCGCTGCAGTCGGCTTCAGTGGATGCAGATGCCTCTTGGCTTGACCGTCTGTGTGGAAATCTTCTGAGATGCCTGCAAATTAAGAACAACAACTTACATCGCTAGTAGGTAGTCGGAGTAGGTAGTGAATGTCACGTAATAGGTAGTCGGAGTCTTTGGGTGTCTTCACAAATATTGTCTGTGCACTTTGAACTTTGAACTGTGCACAGTGTGTTGCTATGGAAACTCCATACGGGACTTGACGCGACGTCCGTGTTCGATCCACAAGCCCTCCGAAGGCCCAGCTCCAGATTGCAGCTGCTTTTCTTCCACCACACATAGCTGACAGGCATGTGAGTGTGGTGGCAGAGAAACTATTGATGGTTGTCGGGGCTTTGAGCGGGACG